CGGAGGAATAAAGAATCTTTGGAATATAGTGAATCTAATTCTTTGGAATTACTAGATAAATGAATATAAATTGTTGGAATTGATGAATTACGTAATGATAGCAAAATGCATTATAGTTGATATTCCATAAAACTGAGATAATAAAGGTATACAGTGACAGTTTTGTTTAAATGGCGGTACAGGCAAGTCACATTAATTATATTTAAAAACACGTAATTGATAAATCTATTTTATAGTTATCAAGTGAAAGTATCATATACAAATTAAGGAAAAGATACAATGATAAATGACACAAGTTGGAAATATAAGAAAATACAAAATATAGTAACAAGAAAAACAATGGCAACTATGTAAAATGATGCCGGTTGTACGTATATTTGCGACTTGAAATCTATATACTAAGTTGCTGAATATGCGTGTAGTCAAAAGGATGTTTTTACTAACATACATGTGAAAAGGATGTACTAGCCTAGAAAACAGTAATAATTCTGTTGTTGTTTTTCGAAAAAAAATAGAGGTGATGCGCAGTTATGAGCGGTTACTTAACCAAATCAAGAAGCTATCATAAACCAAGAAAGAAAATGTATGAAATAAGAGATGGGGGACTAAACTATAAAGAATATATGTAGAGTGTAGGTATTATATGGACTATGCTAGGTATTCAAGAAGTTCAATGTCAGTAGATGATAAATACATATACAGGATGGTATTTTTCTTTCCGAAGGCTGCCAAAGAAAAGAAAAAGAATTCAACATTTTCTGATTTAAGTGCATGACTTTCAAGCACTGCATAGTTTTAATAGAACACGTGCACCCTCAAACACACATGCATACAGATACGTATATGTGTGTGTGTATGTGCAAATATGTGCACACATCTACAATCTACACGCAATGCTTACATGTGATATGAACAATGGCTTATGGGCTTGTTCAAGATGTAGACGCTGAGAAACACTGACAGATGGTATATCTTGCAAACATGTATTAAAATGGTATATGCACAAAAATCTGAAATTCCAAGGTAGATATAACCAAGTAGTTTCACTTCCTCATGGCCTACTGAACCCGAAATGAAACTGACTTTTTCACTAGAGTATTCTGGCGGCTGTTAATGGATTGGAACATATAGTTATCACAAAGAAAAAGGGGTTTTGGTTTTACTTATGGGAAGATTAACAATACCGAATAAATAAATAAATAAATAAAAATTATGTATCCAGCTATAACTGACATCCCACGTGCACTCTCATTGGTTGGATGTGGTGACGTCATAAGCTCCGCCCGATTTTATTGTCCCAACAATTTGTGCAATATGTGTTACTTCCGTGTGTTTTCTTTGATAATGGTTCAGTAATAACAATGGTAAGAAAATGATCGAAACCGACAACGATAAAATAAATAAACAATTAATGAAGATACTGAATGTTTGCAATGAATAAAAGTGATGAGGTCGGAAGTTGCCAGCTAGGTTTTTCCCCAAAATGGATTGGTTATACGTGGGTAGCCTTTGTAAAATACGAACATGCCATTTACATACAGATCCTCGAGCTTCTCAAATCGCCCTTGGTAAAATACGAGGAAAACCATAGAAATTGGTAAATCGGTCTTGATCCAACTTGACAGCGACGAGTTCAGAATGCACAAGCACCTGCATGAGGTCCATCTGTGAATGTTGAAAGCCAGTGGATATTTGTTATTGCATCCACACTCCCTGGTAGACGTGCATTCTTCGGTGCCTCCGTCTTGCACTATTGCATGCACGTAGGATGACCATTAGTGCTCATAGAGTATTTCCTCATAGGTATTCCTCCCAGCAGGCCACATGGTTAGGAAATGCGTCGCTATTTTCTTGGATATTTGTTCTAGTTACTTGTTTTTTTTTTTTTTTCGTGTGTCCATTCATTTCGATACAACTCAACATCTGGCTTCCGTCTCCAGGGTGTGAGCGTCATCGTCCTCTGCTGCGTCCTGGCGGCGTCCTCGGCGGACGAGAGGCGAGGATCCAACAGGTTCTTCACAGGAGGCTTCAACAACGGCTTCGGCGGCGGCGGCTTCGGCGGCAGTGGCTTCGGCGGCGGCTTCGGCGGCACTGGCTTCGGCGGTGTCGGGGGATTCCAAGGAGGCGGTATTGGCGGCTTCCCTGGGGGTGTCGGCGGCTTCCCAGGGGCCGGAATCTCCCAAGGATCCAGCGGCTGCAGGTACTGGTGCAGGAACCCCGAGAACCAAGTGTACTGCTGCGAGACCGATCTTGAGAGGGGCCCCGTCGGCACCAAGCCCCTCGACTGCCCCCTCGTGCGCCCCACGTGCCCGGTCAGCGTGCGCGGCCTGCGCCCCATCACCTGCTCCAACGACTACAAGTGCGGCGGGGTTGACAAGTGCTGCTTCGACAGGTGCCTGCAGGAGCACGTGTGCAAGCCCCCCTCCTTCTTCGGCTAAAAACTGAACCAAACCTCTTCAGCTAAAACTAAATAATATAATAAATACATGTAATAAATCCATATTCATCTTCTTATTTCAACCAGCGTTAGAAACGACAAACAGTAACAAGTGAAACCAATACTGTGGTCATTTTACGCGTGAATTTATAAGAAAAGCACAATCGTTTTAGGTTTCTGAACGCCAAATATACACTTCTGTTATGACGAAAGTTTATAGGACTTTCGGAATAATCCTGAAAAAAGAAAACATATGGCATGGGACAAGAATTATAAATAAATCCAGATGAATGGAAGTATACATAAATTACTCGACTGCAAGCGGGTCGGATTTCAAAGGAAAGTCATAAATTCTCAAAAACAAGCTCCTTGAAAGAGCTTTTATACTCGTCCAAATTCAGGAAAGAACTGATTGACAACTCGAAGTCCTTCAATTCGCCTAGTTCGCTTTAGAGAGAAAGAGAGAGCGAGGGAAAGAGAGAGAGCGAGAGAGAGAGAGAGAGAGAGAGAGACGAGAGAAGAGAAGAGAGAGAGAGAGAGAAAGCAGAGAAAACAGAAAAAGGTGATAGGTGCCTGCTCTACCTACTACAGATGTGACGAGGCTGACAAGTGCTGCTTCGACAGGTATCTGGGAGAACACGTGCGCAAGCCCCCCCTTCCCTCCCTCCCTCCCCTTCTTCTTCGGCTGAGAACTGCTCCCGGGATACCATCTTGGGTGAAGGAGAAGCGGATGGGACAAAGTTGAAGCTGTGGCCGGTATATATTTATTGTTGATACGTTACCGGGTCTCTTAACTTAAGGCTTTCTATGGACTGGTCGATTTACGTCACTCTCTCGTCGTTTGAAGGAGAGAAGGAATATGGGAACACGTAGAATTTACAAGATCGAGATTATACACAAAAACTGAAATACATTTTGACAAAATACCTCTACTTCAAAACAGAAAATGAGCCCCCCCCCCGAAAAAAATGGAGGGGGGGGGTCAGACGGAAACTATCATTATCGTCTGCCTGGAGAATCGACAATTCGCTCAAAAATTGACAAAATTTCAGAAAATTGTCAAAAAAATTGACGGAAAAAGTGCTAGTGGTGACAGCACCTTTAATAGGGCATTTGGGCATGTTACTGAAATCACTATCGTTAGGTAAGGGTCTGTACCGGATGCCTCGCTACGGAATGGTACACTCAAGGTCTATATAAGTACTTATATAGACCTTGGGTACACTCTCATGAAATGGAGGTTGTAAAGCATCCCTGGATTCGTTCACTCGACAGCTGATTCATCGGAGAAATGGTTCCGTTGGGCTGAGAGGTTGTTCTCTTCCAGATGTGCGAACTGGGGTTTTCTCGACCCTTTTAAAAACAGAATTCAATACGAATGTTTCTACTGCCTTTTGATTTCTCTCTCTCTCTCTCTCTCTCTCTCTCTCTCTCTCTCTCTCTCTCAAACACACACATATGTATATATATACTTATACATATATGTGTGTATGTGTATTTGCGTGCGTATGTGTGTTGTGTGTGTGTGTGTGTGTGTGTGTGTGTGTGTGTTGTGTGTGTGGTGTGTGTGTGTGTGTGTGTGTGTGTGTGTGTGTTGTGTGTGTGTGTGTGTGTGTGTGTGTGTGTGTGTGTGTGTGCGTGTGTGTGTACATACATATACACATTATGTGTGCAAATAGTAGCGATTTTAGATAAAGAACAAAAGTACCAACACATACCCTCAAGAAGAGCATGTTCCTCTTCTAGTCTGGATTTGTATGCTATAGTATGCTATGAGATACTACTTTTGATCATCATTTACGACTCGCAGTTTCAATCTATTTTGTACATCTTTAATAATGCGTTAAGATCTTATTAATATATTTGCAGTCTAATTATCCTATTTTTGAAGAACGACATGTTAGTTCCAATTAATTCTAATCAACATTAAGAGGACATGACCTGGATTTTACTTAGGATGTGCATAAAGTAATTTAGTAACTGTCTGTGATAAACTAACGGTTATGCATATTTTCCTAAAAATCTTGACTCTTGTTGTATTATACATTCTACATATCCACGATGTTAAACGCAGAATATTATTTAAAGGTTATTTTTTGGACTACGTAATATATTTCTTGATATTCCTGTTTTAAAGGATTTTTGGGTATGCTATTACCAGTATTATGACAAATTATCCGAATGCACTGCTATAGCCCTGACTTCGGCATTGATTTTGAATATTAAATAAAGCTTACCTTTGTAACATAGTGTGAGAATTGCATTTCAGATTGGAGTATAAGGAATAGTTTTGGGGGAAAATGAAGCGCATTGCAAATCTTATGATTAGTAAAGGAAGTTAAGGACAATTTAATCCGAAGTCTGGTCTCCTTTATCGCATTCATAGCCGGATACCTGGCTGGGTGTAACAGGAATTCGTAATTATTTAAGATCCAATTATATTCTCTGAGGTTTCAGATGCATTGATAATAATGATGATAATGATTATTATTATGATAATAGTAATAATGATAATAATGTTAATAGCACCATTAATGCGATGATGATTGCGATAGTGATGATA